CTTGTTTCCTGTCCATCCGTTACGGGACACATACAAAAGCCAAGACTAAACTTTTAGAAACTTGAGGAGAAATTTGACTTCATGATTTTACATCTGTTAAATCTATTCATAAAAATAGGTTGTATCTTGTATTGTTTATTTTTTTATTTCTATTTTTCTAAAAAATCACTTTTATTATATTTTAGCAAAGTAGAGCTCCTCTGTGAATTGGGGGAAAACCTGAAAACCGGTCCTTCACCGCAGGGAGAGAAATGTCAACATACTGTTGCGCTTCCTTAGAGATTCACAATATGTGTGTGTGCTCAGTCCTGTCTGACCCTTTGTGACCCCATGGACTGTCCTGCAGCCCGCCAGGCCCCTCTGTCCATGATCACTTGTCCTCTTCTCCAGACAAGAATACTGGAGTGGGTTGCCATTTCCTACTCCAGGGGATCTTTCCCACCCGGGGATCTAACTCGTGTCTCCTGCCTCTCCTGCCCTGGCAGGCAGGTTCTTTACAACTGTGCCACCTGGGAAGCCCCTTCATAATGTATAATACACCATAAGTTGAAATCCCTGAGAAACCCTGCAACAGAGAGACCCACTGCACTCATTGTTTCTAATATTTACTAGGCCTTAGACACTGCAATTTTTCCCTTCTGTGGTCACTGCTACTAATATGCTATGTAATGAATGTTCGAGAGAACACATTGTGGAAAATGTTGAATTATGATGAACAGTGTTTGTAAAGCACTTAATATTTTAAAAAGCACAATAATATATTACCTTATCAAAAGCATAGTTAAAATGGAATCAGTAGGCAAATATCACACTAACATGATCACATATTCCATATTCACAAATGTATGTTTTAATGATTTAATTGGGACATGAGAACTGGTAGCACCTACTCATGTACCTTCAGGGTATTTGAGAGAGGTAATCCATGTAGGGATAAACTAATTTTATTTCAACTAAGGAATAAGAAGTGAAAGTGATGGGGGAGGGAGATTTTGACCATTTATTCGTATCAAAAGTAGAGGGACTCTGAACCCTGTTTCCATGCCTGCTTTCCTTGTTGGAGCCAGTGACCACACTGTGAATTCCCATGGTGTTCCTGTCCGTGTCTTTAACTCTTTACAGTTTGGGTGGTATTTGGAAAACCTCAAAGCAGAGTCTAGGGATTTGGTTTACACAGCCGGGAAGCTAGGGTACTGACTTCTGAACTAACCCATACAAGAAATCCAATTTCTCACATTCCCAGTGACAGAGGGGATGATAATATTTTACTAAAGCAACAAATAATCCAAACACAGTCAAATCAAAACTGCAACATGGAAAACAAGAACATAGTTAATTTCTCCAAGTGAGGAATTTAAAATCAAGGTGCATTGGATAGTGGTGTGTGGAAATGTTTTCTGAGAACCATGGGTTGACAGTTCCCCCAATAGGGAGCTGTGTCATTGGGGAACTGTCTATGGTCCTGGGTTAGCTGTAGCCCTTTAGTGTTGGAAATATGGTCTTATTATTGGTGCTTCACAAATGACGGGTGTTAAGATATTAATTAGTGATGTCAAAACTCACAGCAACCATGTTGACTACCCTCAGATTATTGGTGGCACAAGGGTGAAGGCTACACACTTGAGATGCAGCTTTCCTAGGCTCACATCCTGGCTTCTCTACTAACAAGCTGTGTGACCTTGGTGAAGTGACTCAGCTCTTAGTCCTATTGAGAGGACTGAACAACATAATAGATGTAAAGTGCTTAGAACATTGTCTGGCATCCAGTAAGCAATGGATCATGGTTAGCTCTTATGATTTGCATTGATATATTCAATGTCAAGTGGACTATGTATTTAAATTGGCTTGATTAGCTTATTTCACCCTGTAGACAGACCACGTAAGAAGCCAAATTACCAGCAGCTGCTCAGTCATTGTGGCAGTGGAAGGAGTTACTACTTCTGGCTGTGTGCTTCTTAGCACTGTATAGCCTATATAGCACTATATAGCTGATGACCACATGATGTATCCATTTCAGTGCCCTTAGAGTCAGGAAGTGGAGACAGTCCTTGTCAAGTTCACAATGCAGCTGGCTATTTACTTCCAATAGGTTATGGACAAGAGTTACTGTCCTGAGAGAGAGTCTGCTTCTTTATGGTGACTGTATATACTTATGTTTTGAACCCCTATTTGCTAATTCTAGAGGGCATATCTCAGAAGACAACCTTATTTCCATGCTTACACATATAATCTTATGGTTCTTCTCCCACACATACCTATGAGATACTCATGTATCCAGACTCAACATGTCTGTGAATTGAACAGTACAGACTAAGAAGTTTTTTTAAGCAAAACAGCCCATGCTTAAAAGGATCATTCAGATCACTTAAAAATTTGCAGAAACAAAGTTACAATTTCAGAACAGATTTATGGATTTCATTGATAGCATTAAATTCCTGCTGTTGCCTATTAAATCAAAACCTTAGGACTTATCCAAATGATGCAGTGTTTGCTTTTTCAATTTGGTTTAGTTTCTAAAGAAATGGATTGAGATGGAAAAAATTCCTGCCCACCAAACAAGCACTTTCAGAACAACCCTGAAAAGTTTGGATCTTTTGTCCCACTCCAGCCAATCTCGAGTGTGAGGCTCTTGAAATTGGATGCTAGGAGCCCTTGTCAGTGATGTGTGAGATAAGAATTGTGCACAACAGTTCTCACTCATGGTTCAGCCTGTTAAATATTGATATTTTTATGACCTCGTTAAATGATGTTGAATGGCTATAACTAAGCTGCTCTTTTTATAAATAAAGTGGAAAAGCTGGGATTGCTTTTGTTTTACTATTTAATATTAAAAGTCAGTATCCATGATTGGCTGCTATGTAGCAGTGAAAAATCAGGAGATTCATTTGTGTCTGGATTGCTACAGAGCCAAATATTAAGGAGGGTGAATATTTTTATTCTTAATTATCCCTATTTAACAGGCCAGAGAGATTTTGTGCATCATTCATGTCCCCTGAATCCTAAGATTAGACTATATGAAAATAAACTTTTAATTAGCAATCTAGTGAAGAAAATAGACTCATATTCAAATATTGCATTATGTCTTTTTTTCCCCCCTCTTCTATTGCCTTTTAAAGATAATCTCCATCATTTTTACTTGGCAATGAACCTCCAGCATCGCACTCAAAATTAACTTATAGTTTTCATTAAGTGCAGTCTAGACTGTCTGTCTTTACCCCAATCCAAAGCACAAACAACTTGATTTGCCACTTAGCCCAAACTTCTTCCTAAAGAGAAAAAGTGAAAGTATGTATGATTGCTTTTAAACCTTAGATGAGGTAAGCATAGTATTCAATAACTTCATCAAATCAGGTCTAAATTTTATGGTGCAAATGCCAGGCTTCACAGGTCAGTGAGCTTTTTCAAATGGTACACAGGCTGCCTATATCAAATTTGTACAGAAGAATTGATTTTGGTTTTTGGAATAAGGCCATTTTCATCTTGCTGCAAGCTTTCCAGAAATAATAGTGTTATGTTAGAAGATAAATTATAAATAGATGACCATTTTTAAAGTATTATTCGGAATGCTAACAACTACCATAATAGACTTTCTACAGCAAAGCTAAATAGCAGGTGTCAGCTTAATTTTTAGGGCTTCCCTTGTGTCTCAGCGGTAAAGAATCCACCTGCCAATGCAAGAAATACAGGTTCAATCCCTGGGTCAGGGAGATCTCCTGGAGGAGGGCATGGCAATCCACTCCAGTGTTCTTGCCTGGATAACCCCATGGACAGAGGAGCCTGATGGGCTATAGGCCTTAGTGTCGCAGAGTCAGACACCACTGAAGTGACTGAGCATGCACATACGGCTTGATTTTTCATTCTCTGCTACTTCTCAGGGGTTGAGTGGGTTCATGAAGAAACAGTCATGTTTTATGTATAGCCTTGTTTTCTTTCTTTGGGGTCTGATGTGCCAGTGTTACTTGCAGGACAGTCAGAGGAGCAGGCAGGGTCTTTGGGACCCCGGCAGTTAGCACTCCTGGGAAGTGAGGAGAAATACGTTCCCAGAATGGAGGTTCATGGTGTATTTTGCTCTGTGTGAGGATTAACTGACATAAAGATGGCTGGATGATGTGATTGGTAGTGGCTTTCCAGGTGGCCCAGTGGTAAACAACCCACTTGCGAATGTAGGAGACGCAAGAGATGTGAGTTAGGAGAAGGGCATGGCAACCCACTCCGGTGTTCTTGCCTGGGGAATCCCATGGACAGTGGAGCCTGGTGGGCTACAGTCCACGGGGTCGCAAAAGAGTTGGACAGAACTTAGCGACTGAGCGCATGCAGTCGTTACTGATAACGCACCGTCCTCACCCTTTCCAATGGGTCATGTGCCCTTGTGTCTCTTCTAAGAGGGCTTTCGCTGTCTGCAGGGTTTAGGAACTGAAGGCGTGGACTGCTGTGTGAAAACAGAGCTCTGTGGAAAGAAGCCTTCTCCAGGGGCTTTAAGCAAACTTGGTCATTTCTGACTGTCTCCCTGTTCTCCTTTCAACAATCCTCTGATATTTGTTTGCGTGTTTGTTTCCCTCATTAGGACAGGAATCTCTGCCATCTTTGTTTTCCTCCTAGCTTCTAGGATAGAGTTTGGCACATAATAGGTGGTTTTGCTTTTTAAATACCTCTCAACCCATGCACCTTGGAGCTGAGGATTAAAATATGGCAAAATCTGATAAAATCTCAAGCACGGAATATCTGCTACTATGAACACAGAACTCAGATGAGTCCATCTAAACTCAGGTTGAAAGGAATTCACAAATAGTGTTAATTTTAATAAATAAAAGTGAAACAAACTTTACTTCCATCCCTAAAAAGAAAGAGACTCATCGCTGATTAAAAGTTTGTTTTCTGTTCCCACAGTATAAACACCTGCTTGCTACTGACTTTTGCTTTATCAAGGAAGCTACACGGATCTCAGTAATCCTTGAACCTTTGGCATATTCATTTATTTTGCTTTATTCTTTATATTTCAGGGTGCTGATGTTTTTGCTCTTCAGATGCTCAACAATATGGATTCAAACTAGAAGGGTGTTAGTGCTATGAAACTTACAACAGATTTAAATTCCAACCAAGACACTACAGAAAAAACTTCCAAGCATGACCTTGTCTTCTCAGTGTCTGAGTAAGAACACATGTACCTCTGGGACATCACTGACCACTGCATCTGAAATGTAAATAAGGATATTTAAGAGAATCATCTCACTATCTCACATCCCACTATTAAAGTGATCCCTGTAGGTTCATGGCAGTTTATTTCATTGTCAGGTAGACACCATCTCTTCTTTCTCAGGGTCCATCATGCCTTCTCAGGGAGTTGTCTGACAGTCGGCTCTTAAGGATGGCATAAAATTCATTGGCCTCAGTTGAGCCTCCACTGCAATCTTGCGGCTTCCTGTCATCACTTAGATAATAGCAGTTCTCAGATACTTAATACATCCCTCAGCATTGAGCTGTCCAGTGCCTCTGCAGGGAAGGCAGTCCCTTCTTACAAAAGGGGGCTCGGACCCTTCCTCACACCAGTCACGTGGCCAAAGGCCTCCTTTCTCTTGCTCATCTTCTTCTGTCCCACTTCCAGTCCTTTGAGGAGCAAGTGTTCCTCTGCCTGCTTTTTATTATAAAAAGTTGGAGCCGAGAGGGACCTCAAAGATCATCTGTAAGTGGGAGGGGAGTTCAAGAGGGAGGGGACATAAGTATACCCATGGCTGATTCATGTTGAGGTTTGACAAAGTTCTGTAGAGCAATTATCCTTCCTTTAGAAAAAAAAAAGATCATTCGTAAGTTAATGGATGAGGAAGCTGAGGCCTGGAGAGGTCACGTGACCTGCCTGAGGTCACATAGTCTGTTAGGGGCAGGACTGGACTTGAACTGGGCCAGGTCTTTGGACTTTCACACCAGGGACTTTTCCCTTCCACCAGGCTTGGGCAGTAGAAGCATTGGACAGGCCATGTTGCATTTTACAATAGCAAGACTTTCCTTTAAGATTTCTTCTCTCTTGTTTTAAAAAGGTGCTTGTTTAAATTTTCCCAGTTCTCCCACTTTTATACATGGAAGGCTAACCTGATACCTTGTGCAGAAAACTGACAAACTATTTTCGACAAAATAAACCGTGTAAAGCAAGTAGCACAAGTATTTAGGGACATTCAAGGGTCCTTTGTGTTTCAAGCATCCAACAGCTCAGTGAACACGCTTGTCCTGGTTGTCGAGGGAGAGGAAGTTAAGGGGAGAGACCTGGGCACCAGAGGAGGAGCAGCGTTGCAGTGAGCACGTGAGTGAGGCTTGCTGTTGTGCTAGGCTTATTTTCCATGGAAGTGTAAAAATGCAGAATCACCATCCCTGATGCTCAGAGAGCCAGGCAGCCAGTAAGACTCATTTCTCTTCCTTTTTTTTTTTTTCAGTTTTTTTTTAAATTGGAGGATACTTGCCTTACAATGTTGTGTTAATTTCTGCCGTTCAACAATGTGAATCAGCTCATATATGTATGCTGATATATGATATTTGTTTTTCTCCTGATTTACTTCACTCCATATGACGGACTCTAGGTTCATCCACACCACTACAAATGACCCAGTTTTGTTCCTTTTTATGACTAAGTAATATTCCATTGTATACATGTACTACATTTTCTTTATCCATCCATGTTTTGGTGGACATCTAGGTTGCATCCATGTCCTGGCTATTGTAAATAGTGCTGCAGTGAGCATTGCGGTGCATGCGTTTTCTTGAGTTATGGTTTTCTCAGAGTATTACCCAGTAGTGGGATTGCCAGGTCATATGATAGTTTTATTCCTAGATTCTTAAGGAACATCCATATTGTTCTTCATAGTGATTATATCAATTTACATTCCTATCAACAATGGAAAGGGGTTCCCTTTTCTCCATACCCTGCCCAGCATTTATTGCTTGTAGATTTTTTTCTGATGCCCATTCTGACCAGTGTGAGGTAGTACCTCATTGTAGTTTTGATTTTCGTTTCTCTCATAGAAAGAAATGACTTTGACCGATGTTGAGCATCTTTTCATGTGTGAGTTGGCTATCAGTATGTCTGCTTTGGAGAAATGTCTGTTTAGATCTTCCACCCATTTTTTGATTATGTTGTTTGTTTGTTTTTTTGATATTGAGCTGCATGAACCACTTGTATATTTTGGAGATGAATCCTTTGCCAGCTGCTTCATTTGCAAACATTTTCTTCCTTTCAGAAGGTTGTCGTCTACAAGACTCACTTCTAAGCCTCCAAGTAAAATGTCAACAAGATCCTGCATGTCTCAGCAAAGATCCCAGAAGACAAGCCATGCATCTCTGCTGCACGCAGACCCACAGGGAGTGGGGCTCTGGGCCTGGGTCTCACGGGGAAGGTCTAGTCCACACAGTGATGCTTCTGCCTGTCTGCCTGCTTGGAGGAGGTACTGGGGGGAACTACCTCACTTCTAAATGTCTAGGTGTTGGGCTCTCTAAATAAGGAGTTTGAGACTAAACCAGGCTTGATAGAAGGGGACACTGTTTCTCTTACCTTTGAACCTTATCTCCTTCCCTTTTCTCTCTCTTTTCTGCTTTTTGCTACTTTTCCTGCCTCCAAACCCCAAGTGCCCTACAGACTGAAAGGGTGGCACAGACTGCCCTACAGACTGAAAGGGTGGCACAGACATCTCTAACAAGCTCTGTTCTGACAGTTGTTGGGGTGGGATTGTGCCAGGGATCCTGAGCCACATTCCAAGTGTGAGTTTCAGATCATTTAAAGGTGAAAACAGCTACCTGAGTGAGACCAGGATTGGAGATTTACAAAGTGAGGAGGAGAAGAGAAGAGTGTCTCCGTGGTCTCACTCAGCGCCTCTCTGGTCTTTGGATGTGTCTTGATGTGCATGGAATGAATAAAGCCATTAATCTCTATTCGAGTCATGTCTTCTGACAGAGGGAGTAGTGATCATAAATTAGAGGTTTTCGTCTTTGACTTTTAGGGCGAGCCTGGGAAAGACACATCTCAGGACACTATACGAAGTGTTAGAATGAGACTGAATTAGAAAGTGAGAAAGATAGGAGGTTTGATTCAGAGCCAGGAGAAGAACTAAGGGAAACTAGATTGAAACAACTACTTTCAGAAAGTGGCTTTGTATCCAGAGTCAGTCAGACTCAAAATGAGAACACAGTCCTGTCTGCTTCCAGGTATGCCTTGAGTCTGGGAGTCCCCTGGGCAACCCTCACTTCAGACCAGCTGGCTACAAATTTGGGGGTCCTTAGAGAATTACTGAAGTTTGATCCTTCACTAGGATAACTCATGAACTCAGGGAAGTGCTGTATATTTTACCCATGAACTGCACAGATTTGTTTATATGCAGATACTTTTTCAATAAATATATGGTTGGCCCTCTGTATCTATGGGTTCTGCATAAATTAACCAAGCATAGGTCTTCTACTATGTTTATGATCTGCAGTTGGTTGAATCCATAAATGTGAAATACAAGGATATGGAGGGTCAACTATGGGATTTGAGCATCCGTAGATTTTGATATTTATGGAAGGTCCTCTATCCAATCCCCCAGAGATACCAAGAAAGAACTATACTCACAGTTGCAGTTTTATTAGAGTAGGGGGATACAAATCAGAACCAGTCAAAGGAAAAATGCCTAGGGTAAAATTTGAGACTGGTAGGGTTCCGAATATGAACCTCCAAGGTCCTCAGCAACACAGCATTTTCTTGATATCAGTGTGTGGCAATGTGCAGAGAATTTTCCCCCCAGCAAGGTCAGTTAGCTCCGGTGTCCAGAGTTTATACTGAAACTCATTACATGGGCGTGATGGACTGAGTGATTGTCCATGTGACTGAACTTCATTCTTCCCCAGGGTCAGCTGATTCCACGTGACCCCAAACTCCCACTGTAATCACAGGGTCAGTCTCTTTGGTGCTGGCAGCCCCCAGTCTAAGCCTATCCCCTGATTTGTGGTCTCACCTGACATCATTTCAGTATAAACTACTGGGTGCCCATCACAGTTCACCTAGTTAGCATGCACTATTACGTGTGTCTAAGGGATCCATCACCACCAACAAAGACACCCCTGTCACTAGGGAAATTCCAAGAGTTTAGAGGTTGCCTCCCCACAGTTGGGACAAGGTCAGACCTCTACTTGAGGAGAGTTAATTCTTCACAGTGCAGCTTGGCAGTGGGAGCTGACCCAAGGTTCCTACACGGGTAAACCTGCTGGGTTGTGAAAGGGTAGGGCACAGAAGGAAGGAATGGGCGGTGGGACCACGCTGCTGTCAAGAGACTCTTGTTCACCTGCCATGGCCCAGATCTGTGTGTGCTGAGCTGTGCTCACCGTGAACCCTGGTGGAGATGCCATTTGAGTGGAAGTGAAAGTATTAAGCATATTTGGTCAAAATAGTCCAATCTGTGGGCTTGTCCTAGTTTTTATGATCAAGTAGGTCACCAGTGGCTGGGAACCCATAATCTAAGTTTTCATCCTCATGCAGATGAAAACAGAAATACCTAATGGTGTCTGAGTAAGAAACATTGTTAAAATTAACTCTCAAAGCTCTCAATCCTTTATAGTAAGGCTGAGAGAGGATGGGTTTGGAAAACTTGTCAGGTTATCTCCAAATAATTAGCACTTGTGTTTTGATGTGCTCTGAGGTTTGTGTTTGCTCACTGAGACACTATGAATTAGGGAATGGTCAGAAATCTTGTTCTGCTCTTCCTTAAAAGTGGGAACAGGCAGTTTGTCTTTGAGACTAACGCAAAGCAAGAGGCTAAGCTTGCTTTAGCCTCATCGCCCCACCCGCTGATGGGGACCAGGTGACTTGTGGGGTTTCAAAGAGCTTTTCTTTATAAGAAGTCAGTGCGGGGAGCTCACAGTCACCCTGAATAGGAAAACGAGTAGGCACCGCTTCCCTCAAATCACCTGGAGGCAAAGTAGGACGCAGGTGCGTAGTGCTGAGTGTCGTAGGGTAAGGCTGGGAAGCTCTGGGCGGGGTGCATCCGTGTGTTGCTTCTCAGGGCTTATAGCCAGAGAGACTATAATACTAGATGACCAGTCTTCAGTTAATAAGGAACTACTTTTAAACCATCTCTGGGATGGTTTAACACAATAACACTGTGCATGGATTCAGAAGAGCCATTCAGAAGACTGTCTCACTTCCCAGCTGTGTATCCTGAGTCAATCCACTAACTTTTCTAACTCTTTCCCCCTCATCTCTAAAGTGGGAATAAACCTATCTACCTTACTTGGTTATTATTAGAATGAATGAACCCATGCATATCAAATGTTGAGCACACAGTTTCTAAATGGTGGGTGTTCAGTAAGCATCTTTGCCTTGTCTCTCTGCTTCTTTTGACCCCAGCATGTCGTGTTCTGAGATCTCTTGCTACTCAAAGGTTTTTGAGCAGCCTTTTTGACAGCCTCTTATATTCTGTATTGTCTCTAAAAGTCTCATGCAGTCTTGCAAACCCAACTTCTGCTTAATTGCTTCCTTCTACCACTGCTTTTGGTAAGTTCTGTATAACTCAGTTTGAAGTTTAACCCTGTTTGCCCCTTTTCAAGGGAACCGCACTTGGCAGTGGGGGGCGGGGGGAGCTGTTCCTGAAGAATTGTGCAATTTAGGAAAATTAAGTTTCAGACCAGCCATGTGGCTTTGACAGCTTCAACTGTTCAGTACTTAGCAATAATGGAGAAAATGCCAGTAAAAATGACAAAACGACAGAGCCCTGACCCACTAGGTAATTGTATATTGAATATGTCTTGGCTCAAACGAGGGAGGATTTTGCTTAAATGAACTAAGGGCAAAACTGCATGTTGTAAGTCATACAAAACAAGACTGGTGCCCTGGATAATTAAAGATGCAAAAGAGCAGCTCAAGATGTTTGAAAATGGAGAGTGAATATCACTGGCATTAAAGGGGCGAGCTGATGAGGATAGGAAGGGCAGATGGTTTCTGTTTAATGAATAGATTTCAGGCATGTGAATGGGTACAAACAAAGACAGGCAGTCATTCAAGCCTAGCTCTATTTTTTATATTAGGGGAAAAAAGATGAGAGATGCTGGTTGTCCAGAGCCCACAACGGCTCTTATCACCCTCCAGATGCACAGAGAGGCGTAAAGAAGGCAAAGAGTTTGAAGGCGATAAGTACAAAACCACAGAGTGAATTTGTGCAGGAATGAGGATTAGAGCCGTTAAGTGCTTTAGTCACTTGATCCTGCTAATCTTTGTTCTCTAATGTGAAAAATTCTTGGGCTTTAGGAAGAGACTACTGTAGGTTCTTATATGAAAGCAGGATTGACTGTCACTGTGTAATCCCCGAATATTTGCACCCTATCTCTTCCCTCATCGGAGGGAGGCCGATGGAGAGGGCGGGCGGAGAGATTACTCCCATTTCACAGCACGTTGTGTTTCTGTGTCGCAGCGTCTTTAATTACTGAGAAGTAATTTACTGAATAGCACCCAAGTGGATTGAAAGAGTTAATGCAGTTTCCAGAAGTGTCTAACCTCCCTGGGAGTAGCTTAAGTACAGAACAAATCTCTCTCAATAAATACTAAACAACAAGAATCAACTGATAAGGGTCAAACTCCACAAAATAAAATTGAACCAGTGGCCCATTTAATCCAGCACCTTTTCAATAAGTTCTTTTTCAACATAAAAGTGCTATTGGCTGGCAGTTTCCACAAACTGATGACCATTCTGCCTCACTCATTTGAGGTTGGTCAGTATTCATTTATTCCCTTCACTCATTTCATTCACCATTAATCCATTCATCCACCCCCTCATCCATCAATCCATCTTTTATTTATTTGCTCTCACATATTTTTTATTTTTAAAATGTTTCTTTATTTAGTTTTGCTTTTAAGAAAGACTTTTAATTTCAGAATAGACTTAGATTTACAGAAATTTGAAAATAGTACAGGGCTTCCATATACTCCATACCTAGTATTTTCCCTATAATTAACATTGTACTCTTACATGGTACATTTGTCACAACTAATAATCAAATATCAATACATTGCTATTAACTAAAGTCCACATTGTATTCAGGTTTCCTTAGGTTTTTTTTTTTTTTTGGCCATACCATGGAGCATATCAGATCTTGGTTTCCTAACCAGGGATCTAACTGGTATCCCCGGAAGCACAGAGTCTTAACTACTGCACAGCCAGAGAAGTCCCTTAGTTTTTAATCTACATCCGTTTTTCTGTTCTAGGATCCTGTCCAGAATACATTACATTCTGTTGTCCTGTTTCCTTAGGCTCCTCCATCCATTTTACTGTGTCTATTATGCAAAGTTTTGTGATAAATAAGACATAGTCCTTCTCTATCTCCCTCATTAGAAGGTGATGGTGTGACCTGAAAATCCATAGCACATTCTAAGAGAAGTCTGTAGAGGGTCAATGCTCATCGTCTCTTCCAGAAGCCCTCATGGACCAACGTTCTTCCATGGCTCCATGTGCTACCCCATGAAGGATCAGTTCAGTTCCAATTTTTGCCCAAAATAGGTTTTTTATAATTCAGCTTCAATTCCTGTGAATTTTTGGTACACTGTCATTGATGGGTGAATGGGAAATAAACAACACAACATTCCAAACATCTTTGGTGAACCAAGTCTTTGTTTTTGA